GGATGTATCACAATCATCTGGCGCTGGAGATCTGTGAGACGCTCGTATTTCAGGTGCTCTGCTGATGAGTCACACCTGCCAGCGCGAGAATGTCCTCTCCAATTCGGCTCCGGCCAGCCTGAAGAAAAAGTCACACGCACACCAAGATACAGACACAGGAGGCAGAGAAAAACCAAAAACACAAAACATTCTCCATAACCCTCACAATCGCTCAAGTATGTCATATTTTGCTCTCAATCTCTCTAGTTGGTTTTCATACTTGTCTCCTCTCTGCTCTGTGTAAACACAGAATACAGTTCAGGTAAAAAAAATCCCCGAATTCTTGTCAAGTGACTGTTGATCAAAGTGGAATTGCTCATGTCATCTGTGTTCCTTCAATGAGTTTTTTTTTTTTACAGAATCGGGATTTTAAATGACACATGGAGCAAAGTTTTATGATTTCAAGCCAAGATTTGGTGAATTTGCCAACAGAACTGCACAATACATGATGAAAAATTGGAAATCTGATGATTCTTTGTTTCTCACATAAGTGGTGTAATTTGCCCATTTTTTAAAGACAATGTGGTTTTCTAAACTGTAGGCAGGTTTTTAGTGAGTTAAGTTGATGAATGTATCTGATGCTGTTTTTATTTTACACGTGTAGGCAACAGTGTGGGAGTATTGCAAGCTGTCAAATTAACACTGGATTGTCCTGAAGACCAGAAACACCGTCACAAATTTTGATTCCTAGAACGAAAAGAAAAAAGTTCCTGTCAGATTTAATAAATATAAATGGGTAACACATTAATTACTGAAAACAAAAACAACATTTTGTGTATTTTAGCATTAAATTCACAAAATTTAGTTATTGACTTTTAAGCTGTGCAGCAGTGATGGTCATGTATACTATGAAACCCTTAGGTGACAAGAAGTCAACATTCAAAGTCGGCATGAGAACCATTTTGTTAACACACACATAACACATTTAGAGTCCATAGATCCCAAAACGTGTGATTTTCCACCAAAGGATGCCTCATTGCAACCTTTCCGTTTTCATTTCATGGAAGCATTAGCCACGTTTATCTTGTATGAATGACTTTGTGTGACTGTCAGTGTCACAGTCAAGACTGCACTGTAGTATTCAGTGCAGCAGCTTGATAATGACATCAGTTCAGGCATAATTCAGCTCTGCCTAAATTTAAATGAATAAATTGTAATCATGTGTAAGTGGCCAAGACATTTCCTGTATATTAATTAAATTATATGGCATAAGCATTTGTTTACTTATAGTTTGGCGTACTTAGTGTCAACAGATGTGCTGACAGAATATTTCTCCCTTAAATTTATGAACAGAATTTCTGAGTGAATGAATGTAATGTAATTTTACCCTTAAATTGCCTCAGCGTGGTGCCTCTATCAGGAAATGAGACCTTTTATGGGAAAATTAAAATGGATTGATCAAATCAAATTACACTACAGAAGCTCAGAAAAGTTTCCAAAATAACTGTGGAACAAGCCTGGCTATCTCATACATACTGTTTTTTTTCTTAGCCATGGTATTATAGTCTTAATTTATTTTTTTTTAAAAAAGAAAGAAAGAAAAATGTGATCCTACAGTACCAAGCCAGCTGATAGTCAGTCTCTCTTTTGTCAAAATTGTAAGCCTGTACCCTTTTTTAAACAGTCCTGACCCATTTTATTGATTGATTTTTCTGCACTAGAAAGTAGTCAGACAAGCTCATCATAAGAATTTATAATGAATGTACCGTGCAACCTAAGTCTTGATATAAAATGATCTGGACAAAGATAAAATGCTTTAAATAATCACGTTGCTGTGTCTTTTAAAAATGTTTGGTCGTCCTACGATGTTGGCAGCATCCATTAGGGAAAACAAACAAACAAACAGCCATATTTTTTCCAGCCATGTCTAAGTGAAAATGAGTCATCATTTAAGATAGGATAAGTACACCAAAATTACAAAAAACTGAAATGCCCACAGTGATGTTTTCAAACAGGAAGCATGACTCATTATGACTTTAACTCAATTTTCTAGTTACAAAAGCTCATCTATAGACTAGATGACATGATTGTGAATTAAAGGGGCAGAGACTCCACTGTGGACAATGTACCCAGTTAGTGTGCAGATATCAGAAGGGATTTTTTTGTTCGAAGCCTGTGAGACCATTTGGTTTTTTAATTAATGTACTCAAAATGTGTGACCTCATGCACAGTTAGCCACAGCACATTCCTTAAATTATACCACAGATGATGTGACGGTTTGTGCTAAGTGACTGTGCGGGCGGACCCAAACGAAAAGGGAGACGGGGAGAAGGGTTAAAGGAAACAGGATTTATTTAGGGAAGGTGGTGGAGTGATGGGCACCAGGAGGCAGAAACATAGTCCGGTGAAGGGGTGCCGGTCGTGGGGGGTGCTGAGGGTGGTGCACAGGGGTCCGATGCTCAGGGTTCTTCCGGTGATGGTGCCCGTGGTCCTGAATTCCCGTGAGTGCAAAACGCTGGAGTGCCTGGAGGAGTGCTGAGTGCAGGAGCCAAGGAGGAACACTGGAAGCAGGCAGAGAAAACACATACAATAAACTCGAGACTAGAGAACAACAAAAGTGCTAGAAATGCTCAGCGAAGTGTAGCAGCTAGCGGCCTGACTGTACCACGAGGTAGGTATCACAATCCTCTGGCGTTGGTCTTCTGTGAGAAGCCAGTATATAAGCAGGGCACGGCTGATGAGCCGATGAGCCACAGCTGCCAGCGAGCGCGTGTCTCTCCTGATCGGCTCCGCCCAGCCTGCAGAGAACAGAGGCACACCCACCAAAGCACAAAGACAGACAAAATCCCAAAAACACAGTGAACACAGTCTATGACCCTCACAGATGAAGGTCACATAATTCTTACTGAAATCAGACGGTTACTAGTATTTAATCATGCAAAGGGTGGAAGATGAAGCTCATTTATTCCTCAGGAAATTATCATCATTATTATTATTACTATTTGATTAATGTGATGTGATTTCTGTGTGTGCACTTTGGCTCCTCATTGATGTTTGAAGCAATAGTGCCATTTTCTTTTAACCATTTACACAGAAGTTCAGTCATTGAAAGTAAAAGCAAAGCTACAAAAAGCATTAAAAGAGAGGTACTGAGTATAATTTGAAGTCTGTCATTCTAGTGCTGAGCATCCGCAGGGTCTATTAACATGTAGGCGGGCCTGGAGCTAAAATTATCTGCTGGGCCTCTGTTAACCCTCCTTTCCTCCCACTTTCTACACTGAATGCGTGTAATTATTTTTGTGATCAATAATTCATTAGAAGCATTTAATTGTGAAGCTGCATCGAGCACAGTACTATTGTAATAATGCCGTTAAACTGTGACAGTGGAATCATCTTTAGTATAGGGGTCTCAATTAGCTTCCCACATCAGGGATGTATATTACCAGCACTGCACTTTTCTACAGCATACATAAATAATTTAAGTTAATTAGTGGTATTTGTATCACCAGTGGTCTTGTATTTTGAATTTTCTCTTATGGGTGAGCAAAATCTATGGGTGATCCACACCTGTCTTATGAGCTATGTACAAAAACCCCACAAACTGAAATCGATACTTAAAGAACATCTAATACAGAACTAATGAAAGATGATCTTAGATTTAACATTTCCTGAGAACCTTCCTGAATCACTTTTGTAGCTGTAGGCTTTTACAGTGAATTATACAACTCCCTTACGCTGATAGCTGCCGCATGATCTCCATGCAGGTCATTGTCCAAGGCTGTCTTCTGTTGCACCTGACAATGTGGTACTCTGTAGGCTACAATACAATCAAATCGCTGCCAATATCTCAATGAATGTCACACCTAACCCCTTGCCCACTTCTCATATTAGTTATGAATTGCTTTGCTTTAGAAAGATGTCAGTACCTTTCACAGCATGTGCTGCTCCAATGACATGCCGTCCAACACCACCTCACTGACTCAGCTGGATGTGTTGTCACTTTGTTCAGTTCCAACAGCAGGAGCTGAGGCTCATCAGTGTTGAATCGCTCTTTTTCATTCCTTGGCAACATTTTTTGAGAATGAAAACCTGCCACAAACATGTGAAACAGGTTGTTAGGTAGTTACACAGCGATTGATGCGTATTGTGCTAAGTGTAACATCTTACGAATGCATGCAGGTGATCAAACAGGCTGCCTTTATTAGACTGAAATAGGCAATTTACAGAAAATCTGGGGAATTCAGAAGTAATAATGCAAGTGTTTCTTGCATGAGGCCCATTTTGTATTAAATTGGTGTGAACCAGGAAATGGGAAGCTTGAAACCTTAGTGACGCAGAAGTTGGAGAGTCTTTAGGTGTCCCTGTTAGTGATGCAGCCTAAGCAGCATGATGTTTGTGCTTTCACCGTGTGTGTGTAGTGATTTTAGCCACAGCTTGTGTTCCTGGAATTCTTCTTAACAAAGAGTAAAACTCCGAGCTACTCAAATATTCTTAAAAAAGCACATTGGGGGTCTTAAGAATTGAACAGCAATGGAGATGTTATTAGTGTAACTTTTTTTAAATGCTTTGTACAAATATTCTTATTAAATCACTATTAGAATGAGCTTTTTGGAGGCTGTTCCACTTTACAGCGTGTAATGGGTTGATTTGTGATTTTTTTTTAGATTCACTGCCAACATTTCTCTTGTCAGTAAATATGTGCATCTTCCCATCATCTATCACTTTCTCTAGGAGAATTTCTTGGTCTCTTGTTTAAGTCCTTCATATCATGTTGTGGAGCAGGTCAGATGGGAGGCAGCATGAGCAGAACTGTCACCCCCCCACCCCCACCCTTTTTTTTTTTTTTTTTTTAAATTAGATAAGCACTATTTGAGGAGCACTATTAGAAACAAAGTGGTAATAGCTGGATTATGGATGGTACTGCACTCGGATAAAAATGGGTTGTGATCAGAGATTATCATCCCATGTGTAACCTGTTGTGATGTGACCTTACAACTTGTATTTTAATCCTTTCTTTTCAGGGCTTCTTTGTGTCCATTATCTATTGTTACTGCAATGGAGAGGTGAGTGGACAATGTTCAGGGTTTTTGTTGTTGTTGTTGTTGTTGTTTTTAACAATGGGATTCATAACAGCGAAAGGCAATTCATCTGCTTGTTGCCCTACCATACCATTTGTTCATACTCTCTGTGTGCTCCTGTATTGTCTCATAATTTTTGTACTCTTAGTTCACAACCAAAATTTCAATATCTGCCAGTTTGATCTTCACAAAATCTCATCTGTTCTTTTCACCTTTCTTCACTTTGCTTTTGTGATCATTGTCTTTTTCATCCTCCCAGAACTCTGAGTGGCTGCAATCAAAACAACCCTAAATTACATAGAGGGTTTTTGTTTTCTGTTGAATTTAAGTTTTATATCATGATTTGCTATTTTGTTATTTACATTAAAACCAATGACTCAGGTAATGTCAAAAGATCTCAGCCAACATGTAGATTTAACACCATCTGTAGCGCTACAGAACTTTAATGCACAGTTTTAGTCAGTCTGCCCACATATTGTGTGTGTTGTTGAACCTTTTTGGCCAACCTGTCTGTAGAAAACTGTAGGCAGCTCTTTCTACTAAACAAACATGAACACTGAGTGTTTGTTACCAGTGACAGAATTGAAAATAAATATTGTGCCAAACCATCCTGAAACAGCATTTGCAAAAACCTAACATTAAACAAGTACAGGAATTATCCTTTCTAAACAAGGATTAATTATATCAAATCAGGATAACCAATATGTTTGCAATGAAATACCTCTGGATGCCTCCTCTGCAGTCTGTAATCTGTTTGCAATATCCACAGGTCCAGACAGAGATAAAGAAAACGTGGACACGCTGGAACCTGGCCTTTGAGTGGGAGGGCCCAGTGGTGTGCGGCCGATACCGTTACGGCTCTGTGGTTGTCGGTCTTAACAACAACAGCACCAGCAGTCAGTCCCACCTGGCAGGTGGTGGGCTGTCTACACGCTCCACCACGCTTGTGTCCAACCGTGCTTCTCAGAGCACAGGTCCCCCCGTGGTCAGCATGCATGCCACGCTCCCAGGGTACGTAATCAGTAACTCTGATCCATCCATACCTGAAGAACCCGAGGACAGTGGGCCCAAGCAGGTGGACGATATCTCACTAAAGGAAAATCTGCCGGTTCTAAACACGAGCGCAGCAGCTGAGGATGAGGAAGAAACACTGTAACAGTTGTCTAATGTCAAAAGAGGCTGTAGAGAGTGAGGAAATACCGTGCAGGTGGAGCCTTGCAAATCCATTACAGCCTTGCGTAATTCAAGTTCTGACAAAGGAAGCAAAGGGAACTTGAACCTCCTCATGAAAAAGTGCTTAAATGCAAGAACTGAATTATGAAGTCGGATGCCAGATAATGACACTGTTGCCATAGCTACACACTGGACACTGCCAACAGGAATCACCAAAATGTGAATTTTTGTCATATATATATATATATATATATATATATATATATGTATATATGTATATTGTTAGGTTTTAACGTGTGTGCATTTTTGACTCATTTTTGAAGTGGACCCAGAATGTGACGAGGGAGACAGGTAATAATAATAAGAAGGTTTATTGCGGGACAGGAGTGAGGACACCAAGGAAACAGGAGGTAGGAGTGCCGGTGCATGCTGGTCTTCGTGGAGGAGGAATCCGTGCTCCAGGGGGAAAGGTGCTTGAGGCGTGCAAAACCAGTGAGGGGAGAGCTGGAGAGCTGCTGCTGGTGGCTGACTCGTGACGTGGCTGGGGGAGGACATCAGGCTGAGGAGGCTCTGAGGAAGGCGAGGAAAACGAGAGAGTAGGTTAACAATACGAATAATAAGCACGAGAACTAGTTGTGGCCGATCTACCGCTCAAAGCAGAGTGAATCGTCTAGCGCTGCATCACGGGGAGAAGCTAGCTTAAGAGCAGCGCTGATTGTGATAAGGGACAGGTGCGGTGGAGAGCGAGCCCCACCCAGCCTGAAAATGCAAAGCACAGCAGCACAGTAAAACCACACACAGGAAATAATACTACCAAAACAAAGGTTCTAGACTTGAACCCTAACACATTTGAGTTTTGTTTTGTTCAGAACCGGCTCAGGAGATTGCCGATGACTCACACCTCTCCAACATCTTGCTTACTTTACGCACAGCAGTAAAAGAACCTTCATCAATAGGTGGCATTTAGCAGTAACTGAAAAAAGAGAGACTCCCTGCAGATTCAGTATTCTTCCTACTAATAGAATATACTGATTGGTCACAACATGAAAGCCAATGACAGGTGGAGTAAACAACATTTATAATCTTTTCACAGTGTTCTGTTGGGAAACCCTGGGGTCCTGCTATTCATGTGGATATAGCTTTGACACTTACCACACAAAATAGACACTGTATCGACTAAACCAAGCCCTTTAGCAGCTGTATTCCACCAAAAAACTACTCAGGAATGGCTTGAGGAATGTGACAAGGAGCCCGAAGGTATTGATCCCGACCTCTAAATTCCCCAATGTGGAAAATAGAGCCCATTGTCACTTTAAGTCATTTACAAGAGTTTCTCACTTTTCTGTTGGTTTAACTGCATTTCCAGTAGAAGGCAATATATACGATGTAAGAGGAGGATGCATCCTGATGATGAATGCTCTTCAAGGATGAACTGAATGTCATGGTGAAACACTGTAATGTACTTTCTTGTGTAGTCAGCCCACTTTTTAAAGAATCTTGTGTTTTGTGGAGATCAACTTACCATGGAACAAAATGAATTTCTGTTTAGGTACAGCTTTAATGTAGTTTTCCGTGTACATAACCCCTTTGCTGTGTTTCTTGCTTGTAGGGGACTGGCACGTACAGTTTTTATGACACATGAAAATCCATGTGACATTGCGACAACATTAATAACATTATTTTTTAATAATCTGCCTTTGTGCTGCCTGAGAAGCACTATATTTGGTGGATGTCTAATGCGTGTCTGCTTTGTGCATGCTTGTTTGTCAGTGTATCAGATGCGGTGGTTGTTCACAGAAAGTTCTTGTTGTACATGTGCCTCTCATGCTTGAAAAACTCAGCTTGAAAGGATTATTTTGAATCTTATCTGTTCTTGTGCTGAATGTGTTTAGCTGGGTTTTTTTCTTTGTGATGCTTGTTTGTGTGTCCCTCTTCTGTTTTCTTTCTCCCTCCATCAAGTCTGCTTCCTGTCTGTAAACTACTAATAAAGGTTTCACATTGTTAGCAACCTGCTGCGCTACTCTTTGATATTCACTGGATGGGAAGTGCTAAATAACACTGTTTTGTTTTTTGTTTTTTTTAAATTAACTTAAATAACAATTACTAAATATATAATGGCATTACACTAGCATCATTTTTATTTAATGGCCTAAACCAAACATTCACTGAATCACGACGTATTTAAGCTAGTTCATAGCGGCTTTATCCTTATTGATACTCCACACATTGTTAGATCTGTTGGATTGTCAACAACCACTTGCTTCTTTTTGCATAAACAATGGGCACCAAAGTGTGATTCATTCAGATTTACTGGCATGCTAAATAGAAAACACAAAACAGCAGCCAGTCCTAACTTTTTAAAACATTCATAAAGTCAAATTATGTGTTCATTCCTTGATTATTTACATTTCTTTAGCCAGTAAAAGTCCATTGATTGAAGGAATTACAAGCTCTTGTTAATTAATGTTAGTATTTCATAGTTTTAGCATTTTAGAGATGCCAATGATGCCGCAAACTGAAAAGTTAGGTCTAGAGGTCTGGAGATGCATACAGGGGTTCTTGACACGATGTAGGTCAGGTGCGTATGTTGGGCACAGCTATGTCTTAGTTAATAATATTCAAATATCACTTTTTAAAGACATAATTACTGTTTTTGAACCATGTTTGAACTGATGTAGTTTTGGTTGTGTTTTAGCCACATGCTAAACAAATTTTTTTTTTAGAAACTATAGAACTATATGGTATCTTTCAAAGAGAAGCTTTTCTATGTGGGTTTTGCCAAATAGGTGCAGATAGGAAGAGGTGGATGTTAATAATTTGCCAGAGTGAACAATTTTCAATCAAAAGAAGTTATTGGTTGTTGATTTTGACTGCTCGACAACCATTAGCCAATGCTCATCAGTTTGCAACCTTGTATCCAGAAAATTAAGTTTCTAAACTGCATTCTCACGCTTTGAGGGAAAGTGTTTTTCTGTCAGATTACGTTTTTTCGTGACATATCTCCTACATGTTTCTAATCAACATGTATTTTCAGTTTATTTTGTTGTTTTACTGTCACTCCTTTTCAAGCAACCAATCATATGTTAGATGAGGCGAGACTCACCACCCTGGCAACCCATAAAACAGAGGAGAATCTCCAAACGAGTAAAAGAGTCTAATTTTAACCCAAACCATGACATTTCTTTAACCAAAGGGCAAGGACCCTATTGTTCCTGCTCCGTTTCTTTCTTTCTTCTTCTTATTTGCCTGACCAACGCGAAAACCTTAATTAGACCCCCTAAACATGCTCAAAAATTCACCAAAATTGGCATGCACGTCCGAATCGGTAAAAAATTTGATAAAATGAAAAAAACAAAACAAAAAGGCTCTCTAGCGCCACCTAGTTACAGAAAAACATACTAAAATGGCCCTAGCGCCCAGTAGGAATGTCGTACAGAGATCAAACCAACACCAAAACGTTCGTCTCAATGACACCCACAAATCTCGTGCTGACACCCCGACCTATCTCCAACAGGAAGTCCGCAATTTGCCTTACAAAGTAAGAAAATGAGCGAAAACATCTTGTGGGAAAAAATTATCTTGTCTGACACCGTAACTCGTACCAACTTGAAAATTGCACAGGAGACAGAGAAGGCCTTGATGTACAAATGTTCTGAAGGGATTTGGCGTTTCTCAATCGGTTTTCGAATGGCGAGCCGTTAAAGTTGATGAGCTGCCGCAGCCTCAGCTCATACTTTGTATGACTGTCTATGGGACATGTGCAGACATGCTGTGACATTTGGTCATCTACACAAAAAACTAAAGGTCCTACAGCTTTACAAATGCCACTTTGCAAGCAGGGGTCCTTGGACCCTAATGAGAAGAAGAAAGAAAGAAAGAAAGAAAGAAAGAAAGAAAGAAAGAAACGGAGCTTTGCAGCAGGGGTCCTCGGACCCTAAATATGCTGTTTTTACATATATTTGGTGAAAATTGTTGCTGTATGGGAGAGAGAAAGTGAGTAAAACTCTCAGCTCTCTCAGCCAGGGGCATGCAGAACGACATCATCACAGCTCAGTGCAGCTGCTCCTGTAACTCACTGACAGGCTGAGCAGAGAGAGAAACATGGCTCCTTCAACTTCAAGCAGGTTTAACTTGAAGAACGGTCAGACGGGCATGAAGTGGCAACACGGACCGAGGACCCGACAAACGCTGCTTGCAGCTTTAATCAATATAATTGCCCTTGTGTCGAGCTCCCAGCTTAAGTAGAAAGTAATGTGTGCTGCTGTGCACTTGGAGATCTGAAAGTCGACCTTTATGAAAAATACAAAAGCTGTGCATTAGCTCTGCTGTAACAGTTTATGATACTTCATGTACTGGAGCTTAAACCGGCCACTTCAGGAGCAGGAGCATCAGCTCACTTAATGTTTTTTTTTTCAGGACATTGTATCATAGATTTCAAGTTTTTGTCCATCTGTAGTCTCTTTGTGTGTGTATGTAAGAGATAGTGTGACAGTGTAACCTAGTTTCTTTTTCTGGACTAGCCTCTGTCTGTTTTTTAGGGGTTATAGAAGCAAAATAAACCATAGAGTGTCTTTTCAGGCACATCAGTTAAATTAGCAAAAACAAACAAACAAAAAGTAATTTTAAAATTTAACTCTTACGGAAATGCAAATGATGAATTAACACACACAGTTACTATAGCAATTTCAGATTTTGTTCTTTTGAGCTCACTGTTACTTGGTACATTATCACCATCAAAGTGTAATATAGTGGTACCAATTAAAAGGTTCCATATGTAGCCCTGGCTAATTTAAGTTAATCCCTAATATGTGAACTACTCCTTAATATTCAAATAACCATTTTCTTGCCAACTAATAGGTTCATGTAAGTTTGCTCCATATTAATGTGCTTTAATTTTATTAATATGGTTACTTGAATATAAAAGTGATACTGCAGTTTTAAGTTGGTTGGTTGTAATGTACTGGACTAGCGTGTGGCATGTGC